TGTTAAACACTGGCAAGATAAAATCACAGTAAACGTGATGAGTACCCTTGTTTCTTGTAATGTGGATATTCATCAAGACAGGTCCTTACACCCAATGATCTTGGGGTCTGTAATGGAAGATTTGTGACAAGGAATAAAGGAGAGGAAAAATGCCCTGGACAAAAGCTTTTCTTTCTGTTTTCTTAAGCAGTAAAAAGGTCAATAGAAGCCAGTGCCTAGTCTCCAATTCACATCACTACAGGGAATGACTGAGCTAGTCACAAGTCTGAGGATGTGCCCTGAGTGACCAGCACTGACTACAGAAGCTTAGAGAAGCCCAACAGAAAAGTATGAAGAGTTTCAGGCCAGCCCCATGCAAATCACACTACCCACCAAGGGCCTCATGGGCCCAGCCCAGGACACCAAGATCTCCTACTCCCAATCCCAGGACTGGGCAAGGAAAGGGGTGGAGGGATCCAGAGTTCAAGTCAAAACATGCATTTTGTAGACTCAGTGTTTGTTGATGTTATTTTTTGATCACTGAACCTCTTTCTACAACACATTCAAATGAGATTCATTGAACGGTCGGTTGTCTTACAGGATATGTTTTTCCAGTTTCTCTTATAGGAATTGAATAAATACAATGCTCCCATATATAATGCAAAAAGTTAAATATTTCACCCTAATCTTTGTTAACCAGAATAGAGGGTAATAGTTTATCTTGAAATAAATTAGTTTATTTGAAAGCTTTAAAGAGATGGAACACATAGAAAATTAATAATCCTGATGCAATGAAAATAAATCAATATTCCAAAAGGAGAAAGAAGTTCTTCCAATAAGACCATCTAGTCAGATAAATAAGGAAGAAAAAACTACACTGAGATTATTAGAGGCAAGCAGAAACTGTAATAGACTGATAAGTTAATATCTCCTTGTTTCTAGACAGACTGCTTATTGAACCACCCAGGAGCACTACTGAAACAAGACTATACAGAAGTGAGCACATACAGATCAATATCCACAATATGACACCCATGCAGGAAAAAATTCCACTCTGGCTGAAAGACAAAGCTCCGTGGCTATATGCCATTGGCATGGAGATAGGTAATCAGGCTAAAGATATTTATCAAATCAGTGAATGAAATTCATATCTTTAGAAATGTCAGAATCACCCAAAGGGAAGTAGAAACTCAGAAAAGTTCAAAACCATAAGAACAGATAATAAAGGGAGGTGAAAAGATCATGACTTCTGTGACTTGACAAGACAGAAAAATTCTCTCTACATAATCGGGTCCCAATTTGGGGTGAGAGTGAAGGAAGTGAAGGCTGTGTGGAAGGCTGGCTACATGGAGGTTTATGGAGATGTGAGAGTGGGTGTGGGGGTCGTGGGAACATGGTGGGGGTGTGTGATGGACTTAGAGGATGTGGGTGATTGTGGAGATTTCTAGAGGGATTAGCGGGTGGGAAGGCTGAGGGATATTGTGGTGGGAAGTGTGGAGGACTGGCACAGGTATGTGTGGAATGTGGGGGGGTGTGGGGAGCTGTGGGAGATTATTTGGGTGGTGGTGGCCTATAGGAACATGTGGATTATGTGTGGCAGGATAGTGGGGCGTGCACATGGGAAACATTCAATAAGCATATGTATATGTGTGCACACCTGCACATCTGTCTACACATCTTTTTGTGTGTAGTGGCACAGATAAGTGCTTCCTGTTAAATTTCCTTTTGATTAAAAATTCCTAACCTTACAATTGCACTATGTACAACCATCTTTCACATGGGCAAAAATTCAAATGGAAGATGTAGATCACTCTATTTATGGGAATAGTCCCTATTTTAAAAGGCAAAAGATTTATACAATCTGAAGAGAAACCAGAGTATTAGCCCCTATTTTCAATAAATCAAGCTAATTTTTCTCATAAATTCATGGACTCAAAGTTGAGATAGCCCAAGTACTCAAGGTCAGGAAATTTATTGTACGTTTGTTTCAGAGAATTTGGGGACCTCACAGATAGATCACTGAAAATTAAATGAAGATGGAATCACAAGTCCTCTCTGAAATGACAAAAGACAACTGACACTAATTTAAAAAGATACATGCACCCCAATGTTCATAGCAGCGTTATTTACAATTGCTAAGGTATGGAAGCAACCTAAGTGTCCACCAACAGAATAATGGATAAAGAAGATGTGGTATATATATACAGTGGAATACTACTCAGCCATAAAAAAGAATGAAATTTTGCCATTTGCAGCAACATGGATGGACTTGAAGGGCACTATGTTAAGTGAAATAAGTCAGACAGAGAAAGAAAAATGCTATATGATATCACTTACATGTGAAATCTAAAAAATACAACAAACTAGGGAATATAACAACAATAAAAGCAGACTCACAGATATAGAGAACAAACTAGTTATTACCAGTGGGGAGAGGGAAGTGGGGAGGGGCAACATAGGGTTAGACGGACAAAAAGGGTTATTGTGGGATTACATGAAATTATTTGTATGAAACTTGGAAACTATAAAACACTATAGAACTTAAAGAATATTTCATTCAATAGAAAAATTAATTACTAAAAAAAAAGTGACAGTCTTATTTCTAGAAGTATGATCTCTATGCCTGTTCCTCACCAACCAGAGTCACGTGAAATCAAGTATGGATAGGAACTGAAAATTAGAAAAAAAAACATCAAATATACACATTTCCTTTCCAGGTTACTACGTACAGTTTTCTCCTTATTTTCAAAATCACCCTGCCATACTTTCTCTATTGCTTCTCTAGCAGATGGCAGGGTGTCTGAATGAATACCATCAATGTTTCAACAAGCATCATACTCCATAAAAATGTGCATAATCTGGTTGATCCCTCCTGGGACTGGTTTCTCACTTCATGGCTATTTTAATTTCTAGCCCATTTTGAAGAATAGGGTCAGCCTTCTACTAAAGCCAAACTTCAGAAATAATTTTAGTTTCAGCCTTCTCTCAGTCCCCAAATGAACAGTTATTCTGCACAAATTTCATTTTCTAATCTTTTTTCAGTTCATTTAGCAACATTCATACCTGCATAGGAGAATTTTTCCCCCCAAGATGCCTCTTGTTCACTTTTCCACAAAAATACAATATATTCAAAGGTAATATATTTCTGAGCTTCCAACTTCAGAGAACTTTATCTCCATGTTCTTACCTCTGAATTGTTAAGATGACACTTGTGAGTTCCTGAAAACCAGCCATCACTTGAACACTGGTCAATGTCCACTTTCTGAAGATTTATGTCAACTTTCATGACACCCCTTAAAAACAGAGAAAGACAGAAAGAACAAATTAATCTGGGCTTTTGCAATTTGTAACTCTTTATTCTACCCTAGAAGTCAGACAAATCAGCATAAAGAATGCACTAAAAATTTTCAAATTTCCCACTCCTATTCATTTAATGGGTACCAACTGAAGATAGAGACACAACAGAACAAAATCAGCAAGTATTATTTTTATATAAGTCCCAAAGGCAGGGGTTCTGTACTGTTCACTGTCTTCATCTCCCTGTATAATGACTAGTGCCCAGTAGGTGTTCAATAAATATTTGTTGATTGACCAAACTCAGGACAGTATTGCTCCAGACATGGTAGCAAAGTTGACTCTGATTTAATATCTGTTCCCAGTACCCATTTTATTAAAGTAAAAAAAATCTAAAGCCCTTATCTCATTTCTTTCTATTTCTAGTTCCCAATGCAAGGCCAGGGATGGGGAAGTTGGGACAAGGTGGCAAGGGTGCTTAATTAGGAGAAAGACAGTGTCAGAAAATAAGCATCTCTTTCCTCTGATCTTCTATCACAGTCATTTTAATCAGCTCTTCAGGTCTTCCAGTGTTCCACACCAGAGATTTGCACCATCCACAGAAGTACTGATTAGTGTTTATTCTTTTAAGTCTAGAAACAAGAACACTGCATTTCACTTACCCATTTGAGAAAAGTCATTAAGAAAGAGAACTCACAAATTCAGAGCCAAAAGCAAAATTGCAAAGGAAGTTCCAACTTTAAAATTCCTCCATTTTTGCCAACAAATCTCCCTACATTTTCCTAAGATCCCCCTCTTCTATTTTTCACCACCACCAGCATCTCTAGCAGCAAAAGCAACAGACATACCTGTCCTACACTGAACTACTGCACCTGGAATTAATTGAAATAATTTTTCTGTGGACTGGGCCGTGAAGTCCACAGCTCTGTAATGTCTTTTTTCACAAACTTAAATAAAGCAGAAACACTCCAATGAAACTCACTAAACATAAAAACACATGTTGAAGGTCCCATGTCCCCTACTTAAACTATTTTCATTATGATATTATTAATGTGTACAAACATAAAGGTAGGCTCAAATTCCTTATATTATAGCTCTTCCAGCTACAACATACACATATACACAAAATAACAAAACAAAGGCAAATGAAACTGTCAAGCCAACAAATTTGAAATTTAAAATATTAATTTAAAAACACCAACGATTACATTTTTTCCACCTCTCAGAAAAGGGATATGATATCAACTGCTAGTTCAGCAAGCCTATTTTACCATGTTATGACTCATTTTTCTCATCTCTTTTCTCCTTTCAAGCTACTGTGAAATCTTGACAGAGTGGCTTCACGTCATTGGGGCTTCATCTAGAGTGAATAAATCATTTACTTTTTAAGGCTGCCTCTGTTCTTGCTAACCTGTGACAAAGTATGTACTACACCACATAGTGCTAACAAGCAGGCACACCAAAACCTCCTGTCAGTACTTGGATGTCCAGGCAACCCAGAATATGTGTAAGTTCACTTCTCAGGGGATCACTGAAAGGAAAACCCAAACGTTTACCATAAAAAACTTACAAATCCTTCCAAGAAATAGCCGCAGTTTGCAAAACATTACTATTGTGGACCATAATTCCATAAAAGAAATGCTATTCATGCGATAAATAACTGAACTCCCAAGTAATAAAATGCCTTGACCCAGTTCACTCCTTCGCTCTTTCAACAAATACTTATCACCTGGAATGTGCATATCTACATGAGAAGCCATGAAGGTGAACCATACAGGTCCTGCCCAAGCAATCCCAAAAGGTTTACGGTGTCTTAAAAA